CAGGGAAGCACTTATTCCACTGAGCCATCTCCCCAGCCCCTGCAGTTTTCAGAGACAGTGCCGTTTTCTCCCTGGCCACACAGCTAGACTACATTCTCCACCCTCCCTTGCAGCGTAGTGTCCAATTCTGACCCCGGGGCCTGTGAGCAAAGTGAACGCTGATGAGGTTAAGTGGTAGAACCATCTCCTTTCCCATCTGCACGCTGGGAAGGAACCTGAAATGAAAGGAACCTGGAAGGCCTGCCACTCACTCAATGAATTTCAAGGCAATGGAAGGTAAACTGATTTTTTGGGACATGGGGCTTCTCTGCTGCAGCAGTCAGTATTAGTTAATGTGCTTGTTAATATGGAATGAGCCAAGTGGAAAGAAAAGGCCCAGGGCAACTGAGAAACTAACAATGGTTCATCCGGACTGGTATGCATGCCTGTAAGAGGGGGGCAGAGGTGCAAGCCCAATAGGAGGCCAGGGACAAGAGAGGCTTGCAGTCTTGGGAAGCACACTGACCTGAGTCCCCTGGGTGCTATGAAGCCCTAGCAGGATGTGCAGCAGAGGAGTGAGATGAGATTCCCACCAGCGTCTGAGTGGCAGATGGACTGTGGGATGGGAAAGAGGAGGAAAAGCAGGCAGAGCCCAGTGATAATTGTTATAGCTGCCAGGTGTCGGATGACCTGGACCAAGGAGAAGGTGAGGATTCACTGCAGTCATTTGTAAGCCATTTGTGGGACAGGCTGCATTTGGATTGGTAACTGGGTGTGGAGGAGGGGAGGAGATGACTGGCTGGAGAGGGTGGAGCTAGACGTTGAGTTGGGAAGGCTGACCGATGGGAAGGTTTAGTGTTGGGATGAGGTAGGCTATCTGGGGTTCCATTGGAACACACTGAGTCTGAGGTATATAGGGTATTGGTAGCCCATCTGAATAGCAATGGGGTCCCCTACCTGGAGGACAGGTGGGAGGTCTTGGTTCAAAAGCCATTCACAGAGAGGTGGAAACTGAGGCCATAGGAGTAAGGGGAGTCATCAGGAAAAGGGTAAGAGCCCCGAAGGAGGGAAAAGGGCAGCCAAGGCCTCCAAAGCCATTGCTTGTATCCTATTCTGTGGCACACAGCTGCCTCCTGGAAAACCACTTCCAGTGGGCCCCCATCCACATGGCCAGTTCTGTGTGCACAGACGGGGTGGGACTCTGGCAGAGAAGGTAGGGAGTGAGGATGTCTCAGGCTTCTACCTCTAGTAGAAAGGATTCTTAGGGGAACTCAAGAGAAGGCTTTAGGAGTGAAGCAAGAAGGGGGCTTGCTTAGCCTGTGGGTGTGCCTGAGTTCAGTCTGAAGCATGCAAAAGAAAAAAAAAAAAAAAGAAGCAGGAAGATTCTGTCAACAGTGGGAATTTGGAAGCAACTTCATAGTTGAGCAATGCTGGATCTCAGGCCCAGCAGTGTCATCTGTGGGAATATGCTCCAAGAAGATATCTAACAATGGATCTGGGACAGGCACACGGAAGCAGTCGCTGCACATGATTTTCGTTCCTCTCATGCTTACAGAGCCTTTATCTCCATGGAGAAGAAACTGAAGTTAAAGAGTAGCCTAATATTAAGCCCAACTATACACTGTGCATGGAATGAACTCACATACAGCAAAGCTCAACAATTATACTTGAGAAAAAGGGTCTGAAAAGATACCTGAATGTAAACTGTACTTTCCTGGGGATTAGGGACATTGACTTTCTGTAATGCATTTTGATTCTATGGTTACATCTATATCTTTATATATTTTATTACATATATGCTATTATATATATTTAATATATATGTTAATACATTATTTGGAAGAATTTTTTCCATTGACATTGTGATTTTGTTGTTTTTTAAATTTTTGATTAGTACATATTTGCAATATATAATAAGTACATTCATTGTGAGGAGCTGGTACATGTACAAACATCACTTTTTTGCCAGAAGCTTGCAAAAATTTAAAAATAAAGATATTTCCATTTTGAAAATTGACAGCATAAACAAAACAAACAAAAAAAGCTGGGGATACAGCTTATTGGCACAGTGCCTGCCTGGCAAGAGCAAGGTCCTAAGTTTGATTCCCGGTACAAAAAAAAAGAAGACGATGAAAGAAAGAAAATCGACAACCTGGTTGGAGGAGGGGAAAGCAGCTTATGGAGCCAGGCCCCATGTCACTGTGTGGCTGAGGGCGGCACACTGCCCTCTCTGAACTCCAGGGTCCTACGTAAGGAAAGGGCAGCAGATGCCTGGCACAGAGCTAGGAGGTGTGAGCTGCACAGCGGACAGGCAGGGCTACCCTGCAGAAGAAGCTTTCAAGGATTTAGAAACTTCCTCCCTCTGAGCCCCTCTAGGCTGGGGTGCTGGGACAGGGATGGGGAGGATCACCCAGCACCCAGGGTGTTTCAGCTAGACGTCAGGCTCACAGGACCTCTAAACTGTTAGCCCTGACATCCTGCTCCTACTCTCTGGGCCTTTGGCCAAAGGCATAGATGCCTGGTGTTGGTGGCCATGGCCCCTGAGACAGTGCAATGTTCTCTGATGATTCAGAGAACACTTTTGGATCTCGCAGGCTCACCTGCCTCTGCTGTTTCAAAAAGCAGCCATGCACATACCCAACACCCCCTCCCAGGGCTGTCTGCTGGCCCCATTTGACAGTTGTCAACACTGAAGCACAGGAAATTATGAAAGCTCTAAATAGCAAAGGCAAAACTAAGAGCAAGCTCCTTCTGCTATACGGTCTCATCTTGACAAAAGTCACCCTTCCTGATGGCAGAGCTGAGCACCCCCAAAGCAGCGGTCATCACAGCCACGCTCACATCTTCATTAGCTCCCCAAATACTGAGAGCTCCAGGGACGAGTATATAAGAATTGAAGCTTCATTCTCTATTTAGAACTTGTCTGAAATATTTTTTCAAGGATGATTATACTCGAAGATATGTAATAAGTTTTACAAACAGTGCTGGACACTTGTTATGCACCACACACACACACTCACCTCTTCTCTATTGTTGGGCTGAGATGCCCGGACTGCAGATCCACCTCCACCATTCCCCAGCTGGGTGACCCTGGGTAAATTACATTCCCTATTTGAGCCTGTCACCTAAAAAAAAGTGGAGGTAGTACCATGCTCCCAGTCTTGCTGGGAGGATCCATGGTGTGAGGCACACAGTCCTTTGTACAGTGCCAGCATGCAGTGGTTATCATCGTGGTCTGCCTAGACCTTTCTAGATCTAGAAGGCCTCCCTCCCCATGGTCCAGACTCAAGCTGCCCTGATTCTCATATTTGAAATCCAACAAAACTCAGGGATAGATGGGGATAGACCTGCCCCTGGGCACCACAGCAGGGCAAGACCCCACTGGATATCTTATCTCTACCCTAGAACTGGCACAGGAGAAGGCAGGTTCCTCTGGATGTACTTTCAATAACACTCACCTGGTGATCCCGTCAGTCCCGTCAAGAGACTTCATGGCACTGCTGTCTGGCCCTGTTTGGAGTGGTGTGGGGCTCCTAAAAAGGGTCACCCGTATTCTTCCCTCACAGCAAAGCAAGAAGTCCTTCCCTAACCTGCAGCCAGGCCCAGGATCCCTCCATTTGATCATTCCCCAGGTTAATCATTGCCTCCCTCACTGGATGGCACACTCAATTCCTCAGAATCCATCAGGAGCTAATGGGGCACAGTCCTTTAGTGTCTGGTGACAAGAGGACAGTAAGGGAAAGGCAAGTAAGGGGAGGCAGGCATTCTTTGTCCACATGTGCCTGAGCAAGAAGCTGGGAATCAAGCAGCCTGAGGTGGCAGCTGGGAACAGGGCTCCCTTGTCTCTGCTCCCAGGATAACAGCCTGCCCACTACCAAGTGTCAGGCAGAGCTGGGAGCCAGGGAGGCCAGGGGGAGGGGTTTGGGGGAGCCCAGGCAGATCCAAGAGGCTGGGACCCCAGTGGGGCAGAGAGGGTCAGGGTAGAGCGTAAAGTTCTGAACCAGAGTCCCAGGCAAGACAGTGATCTGGAATCAACCCACCTGCCTCTGACCTATATGACCTTGGGTAAGTCACTGACCCCTGAGCCTCAGCTTCACCCTCTGGATGTTTCCAGCTGTCTCTTAGAGGCTGCTCTGAGCTGTGCTTTCTGTGTGACCTTAAGACAAGCCTCACCTTCTCTGGGCCTCAGATCAGCCTCAGTAAAGGAAGAAGTTGGATTCTAACAGGACCTTCCTCCACACTTCTCTCCTCCTAAGGATTTCCATGGCACCTGTCACCATGGCAGTCCCAGAGATCAAGTGTCAGGCTTGTGGCCCTCTTTCCCTCCCTCCCTGGTATCAGTTACAGCAGCCAGATGTGGGCCCATCACCTCTCCTGCTCTGGGCACCTGGGGAGAAGGGGTATCCAATGGGAACAGCACATAGTTGTCCTATATGTTGTTACCAAAGTTCTGGCCTGGCACCCTGCAAGCAGACCAAGAGGGACCGCCTTCTAGGCCACTGACCCAGGAAACAGAACTGTGGGATTTCAAAAGAGACTCCTCCTGGCACCATGCTTTGTCCCACCTCCAAAAACCTTTCCTTAGTAGCCTTGCTTCAAGGCCTCCCCAAACAGAAGGGACTGGTCCCTTACTATGGTTCCCAGCTCCTGCTGACAGATCCTATCCTTGGAGAGATGGTGGTGAAAGGAGCTCCCTGCCCCCTTTCATTAGGGCTCTGGCCACTGTGTCCAAGATTAATCATTAACAGGCTTGAAGCCCCAGCCCAGCCTGCTGCCAGCCTTCTTGGCCCCACCCTCTCCACCTTTGGGGACTAGGGGCACTGGGAAAAACCCAAAGGCAGGACTAGCATCCACCTGTGCCCTCCCTGCTGCCCCACTTCTGGTGCAGGGATCCTGTGCATCAGGTCTTGCAGCCAGCAGGCACTGGCAGACCCCTGGCCACTGCGATGGTATGGGCAGGGTCCTCAGGCAATAGCATGAGTCAAGATCGCAGACAGTGAGCATTGGTCCACGGGACATACCTTGGCCTGGTTCTCCTTGGGTTTGGTGTGGCTGGCTCTGGGCCAAGCCGCTGGGCTGCTCCCTCACTGGGCCGTGGGATGCATCCGCTGGGGCCCTGTGCTCCCACAGGGCTGGCCCATGCTCCCGCCCCTGTCGCCGCCACAGCGGCCTCCTCACCGGGCTCCTGCTCTGGCCAGGTGCGGTCACCAGCCTGGCCCAACCCTCCACACTTAGGCCAATGGGCGCTTAAGGCCCTGGCCCCCTCCCGCCCTGTCCTGCTTCTTGCGCCTGCCCTTCCTGCCTAGGAGGCACAGAAGCCACATTCAGTGTGCAGGGGCGCACTACTGTGCCCCCGCTGCCAGCCCAACAAGGCCCATTTGTCTGGATGAGCCAACGGGACCATTGTCCTGCCGGCAGTTCTTTGGCTCAGCCCAGCCCCTAGCCCTAGAGACTAGAGAACGCTTAGAGCCTGATGGTGGCACCCCGGGCTTGAGTGATGAGATTAGCTGCTTTTTATTCGGGCAATGGTGCCCTCAGGATCCAAAGGCAGGACTTGCTCTAGTCAGTGTCAGATACGGGTACGACGCATTTCAGGACACACAGCCAGGGTGGGGCGGGGGTGTTGGTGAGGGGCAGCCAGGATTCTAGAAGGGGACTCAGCCAAGAAACTCAGGTCCACTAGTCTGAGCTCACCCTTCTCCCTGAGACTGGGAACAGGGCTGGGACTACTCCCAGGGCCACCAGGATGGGAGGGCCAGGGCCAGGTTCATCTCCTTTTCTAGGCCTAAGGTCCCTCCTACCCCCACCTCCCCAAGGCAGCAGGACCAAGAATGGCGCTATTGTCTGAGAGGGAGAAATTCTTGGCTCCAGCTGTGGGCAGTTACAGAAGCAGCCGGCTGCCAATAGGGCATGGGCCACACCACAGCCCTGTGCCCACGCCATTTCTGGGCTCTTCTGGAATGAGGAAAATTCCACATCAGCGTGGCTGCCAGACATTTTTCCGTATCTGATGGGTCTGCTCTGACCTTGTGGCCTGGGATGCACAAGCACCCAGGCAGGCCTGAGTCATTCCCTGGGGTTACGGGCTCTGGATCTGGGTCTTGGCCATCTCTGCTTCTGGATTCCTTCCCCCCTCCTTCCCTCCTTCGTGGATGTGCCAGCATGGGTATGAGACAAAGCCCTCGCCTCTGCAGTGAGGTCCGCTGGGCAGGAGCCAGTCCTCTGAGTCCTCCACTCCTCCTGCACCTGCAGCCACTATCCAAAGACATTCTCATCCAAAGACATTCTCCATCTATAGAACCTGCACACACTGCCAGTGGGAGGTCAAGGCCTTAAGTTGCCTAGATTTGGGGAAGGTGGAGCCAGGTTCCAAACCCACTCTTCCCCAGCCACTGGGCCTGCTCTAGGCAGCACTCAGCCAGCTTACCAGGAGCAGCCTTGGAGGAAGCTGGGAGGGCCGCCGGAGTTTGCATCCAGGGATGGTCCCAGGCAAGGGATGACCCTGGGGTATCAGTACATGCTGCTGGGTCAGGCGCAAAGTACAACACAGGACTGTAACAGTATAGCAGTGCTAACACTAGAGGTTACTTAGTTTTGCCCACCAGCCCACAAGGCTGGGGGTGTACCTGCCCTTGGGACTCCCAGAGCTTCAACCACTTTTGTGCTCCTGGCTAGTTCCATTAGCCCCTTGGTAAGTGACACACTGAGCCTCTAGTTATCACTGACTTACCTCAACGCAGCCTTCTGAAGGATTCAAACCCACCCTCACACCCCCAACTTAGGAGGAAGCAGGTTCAGATGGAAAGTGACTGGGCTGGAAAGTGAGCCAACATCAGAGTAAATATGGAAGTCACCCCCAGAACCACTGTCTCTTGTCTGGCACTTCTACTCCTGGACGAGGCCTTGGACATGCAGGGCAGTCTGAGTGAGCCTAGGCCTACCCTGGTTGATAGCTAGGGCTGGCATGGTGCACAACAAAGGGCGCTAGGCAGCACTTTTGCAACCCCAGGAAAGCTCAACATAGAATCCAGCCATTTAATAACAAAATCGTCTCCACTCTCACCCCATCATAGCACCCTGACAATCACAGGTCCAGTTGCAGGAGGGGGCTATGGAAAGCCAGGGTGAACGCAGGCAGCAAGGGAGGGGTCTGTCAGATGCCTGCTCCCCGTGTCACTGACTCCTGGGAACAGAAGGCCTCTTCTCTGCTCAGCCACCAGCGGGGAGCTCCATCCACAAGAACTTGAACAGCCCACGCACCCAAATAGAGGGCAAGAGGGTCCAGGGCTGGCCAGGGAAGAAGAGGGATGAGAGCAGAAGTGAAGGGCCTGCCACCAGCGTAGGTCCTCGCTGGCCTGTATCTGCCATGTCCAGCTCTGGGAGCGCCATGAGCACTCACACAGGCCTTGCCTTCTTGGCCTTCTTCTCAGACCTCAGAGCCTCATCATGAGCTTTCCGCTTCTGTGCCAGTTTGTTGGCCTGTGAAGAAAAAAACGGCAATCAGGCTGAGTTTGGGTGGGGGCATGGAGTTGGACAGGCACAAAGAGAATCTTCAGGTTATTCCTTGAAATCAGAGCTTGTGAAAAGCTAACAGACACAGCCCCTCCTGCACAATAGCTCTTCATTATGTCATGGGCTCGCAAGCCTACTTACAATCATTTCTGGCTCCCAGAGCTGAAGGAACCTCAGTTAACTGTCCCATTTACCAGCCCTACTCTAGAAAGCTGGGTGCCAATCAAACCTTCACCTGGAACTCTCCAGCAAGAATTCCCAGCCACAGGGCAGTATCTACTGCAGATTTACAGCCAGTAACACTTAAGAATTAGCCTACAGAGGCACTCCAAGGTGGGCAGGGACCTGTTCAAGGATATTAGCTCTGAGAATGACTAATACAGTCTAGTCCCACCAGCAGGAGTCCACAGATACGGGCAGGGATGCATTTCAGGACACACAGCCAGGGGTGGGGTGGGGGCGTGGCCAGTCCCACAGCTCACATTATGACATAATATCTCAAAACCAGTTTCAAAACAATCTGTATAAAGCATGACACTCTCCAAACAATGCCATTATGTGCACAAGAGCAAGCTACAGGACTATTCCTTTAGCTCACCCTAAAGGCAGGACTGTGGGTCACTTCTGTGTCACCCATTATAGATTTTTAATTTAATTTAATTTAATTTTAGGGAAGGGTCTACAGGGTGTTCAGGGTCTCACTACTAGATCAGACTCATAGTGATCCGCCTGTTTATAGCCTCCCAAGAACTGGGATTACAGGTCTGCATCACCTTGCCCAGTCTCAATTGCCATCTCAGCACACCCTGGAGGCAGGGCCAGCAAGGTAGGCCCAGGGATCGAAACCCCAGCGGCGCTTTAATTTGTTAAGCTATTTGGCCAGCCCTAGATTTCTGTGTTGTACATGTTTTGTTTTTTAAATGAGCATATAGTTTTGTGAGCAAGAAAATAGAAAAGTTTAACAAAAACTTCCCAATTCTGCCAAGATAACTCTCTTCGCTACCAGAGGGTCAGGAATACCAGGGAGCAAGAAGGGCACAAAAGCCCCAAGGAAGGCCTGGGCCAAGCAGGTGGCCTCAGGAAAAGGGTACGAGAGCTCTGCAGTCTGCCCAGAGGACAGTCTCACCCCACCTCTGAGCTCACGGCATAGCACAGGCACATCTGGTGGCCACCACAGTCTCAGGTAGCAGTGACAAGAGCTTACCTCTCGGATTTTGCGCCTCTTGCCAAACATGATCTTTTGGTAAAGGTACTTCTCCCGCTTCTTCATCATCATGATGGCCAGGCGCTTGGCCTCACTCTCCTCCCTCTGGGCCAGCTGCTGCTTGTCCTCCAGCTTCACGGTGCCTGCCATCACCCTGGGTTTCTGCAGACACACAGCACGTGCTTGTGGGTGCAGGCTCTCAGGCTCTTGCCCTTTTAAACCAGAGGGGCTGCTCTCTAGGCAGTGCTCTGATGTAACACTCCGTACCTTCTCCTCTATCCTCTGCTCCTCCAGGGCTAGGAGGCGGGCCTCCTCCTCCTTCTCGGAACCAGCCTCTTCCTCCTCCTCCTCGCCATCACCTTCGTTGTCTTCTTCTTCTTCTTCTTCCTCCTCTTCTTCCGAGTCTTTCAGGTTTCCTATGGACCACCAGTGACTTCTGAGTGCCCTGATTACCTGCTCTTTCCCTTGCAGGGTAAATGCTGGCCCCAGATACCACCCTCTCGGACCCTGACACCCTCAGACATGCCAAAGGCAGTTCAAGACTCTATCCAGTGCAGCCACCTTGGTCCTCTCCCCACAGGCACAGTAGCACTTGTGGGAACTTCCTAGGTCCCCATCCCCACTCCTGAACTCTGCTACCTATGTGATCACGGACGACTGCTCTAGAACGTTGTGCTCTGTTAAGACTGAATATAAACACTGCCCGACTATAGAGCACAAATGGTTCCTTTCCTACCACTAAGCTTTACCCAAAAGGTGGTTCAAAGGGCTTTTAGCTACTGCTGTCCTATCCCCTGGAGTCTGCAACTCTGTAGCCAAAGAAGCAGATCAAGAAGTCTGTCTACCCTGGTGCCCGCCCCCTCCCACTGACCTGGGTCCTCTCCTCGCTGCAGAGCCAGCAGCTTCAGCTTCTCGGGTGGAATGTAATCTCCTTCCTTCTCAGACACGAAGGGCGAAAGGTGTGGGGGCAGCTGCACCCCAGGGAAGTACTCTGCCACAGGGAGGAGGAGCCGGGCATTGACACAGTCAAACACCCACTGGGGCTGCACGTAGTACCTGGTGCAGAATGGCCAGCAAAGACAGGTCAGACAATCAACTGGAGCCCTGCTGTGCAGCAGGTGCCTCCAAGACAGGCTGCTCCCTAGGTAGCACGTGAGCATTGGGCCTACCTGCCGATGACGGGGGTCTGCTGTCCAGGTCGGTCAACAATTTGGTGGGTGATGCCAGTGTCTGTGACATCATAGGTGGCTCCAATGCACAAAGATTTGTCCCAGGACACGTGCCCCCCAAAACTTCTATAGGTAGAGGAAGAGACCACAAAGATCCCAGGCATGAGCTGCCTGTTATGGGGCCCAATTCCTCAGGATATGCTGACTACCCAGCCCACAAATCCACCCTTTCAAGAGGGAGTTCATCCCCACCCTGGACTCTCCAGACTGTGCCACTGCCTCCAG